TACAGAAAATATACCAATATGGTGACAGCCTCCTTCACAACTCCAGCTATTGTCACTGTCACTGCGCTGGTTACGGAAACAAGGATGTACTCTGTTAAAACCTGCAAGAGAAAAAAACGCTAAGCTTCTTCAAACCACAAGATATATATTAGAGCTGCATGAAGAGAAATGTCACTCCTATAATTTGAACAGCGAGCACTTCCGAAAACTTTTAGAAAGAAATAACCTCATCAACCTTCTAAAGGGTGAGAAAAGAGTATTTAAAATGAAAAAAGAAAAAGAAAAAAAAGATGATTCAGCTTAAATTCCTACCATAAAGAATGCTAGTGTTCCACCAAAAAGTATCAACAAGCAAGTTCGAGCAAGATGCCATGAACTATTAAAATAGTTGTTATTTCTGAATTCATGCCATGGATCCAAGAAGAGAGAAAGAAGAGCTGTTGCAACTGCCATAACTGGTGTCACATCGCTCATGAAGGTAAGAGGGTTTTTCAAACCTGGAGAAATTAAACAGAAAAAATAAGACCATCCCATTGTTTAATATTATTATTATTATAATAATAACGACAACATTTGGCCAAACTACACACAATCCATCACTACCTATAAATAAAACCTTTTCGTCAATAAAAGAAAGCTTACTAGAATATCATTATCAAAATGAAAATTAGGCTTTCCAGATTGCCAACTCAGCATCCACTACAGTAATTATCTTTATTATAAACTTTACATGCTCGACAAAATGATCACTAAAAAGTAAATTCTATAACAAAACTAAACAAAACTATCAGGCAATCATAAATTAAATTCAATGGATGTAACTATATCTCACATTCGAGCTATCTGGAGAAAAGAATAACAGTGAGAATGTTATATAGATTGAAAATATATGATGATAACATCAAGCAAACGTACTGATCCAGAAACATAGAAAAGAGCATGTGAATTACATCAAATAATAAACCCGAAACAAGAAAAAACAAATTCACTTAAGCAAAGAGAAGGGGGTGGGAGACCCTACCATATTCTTCTTTCTTTAGATAGCATCCCATTCCAGATGGCAGTATCATTGAAAAGTCGATTTGGAGACAAATATGATTATTAAATGTGTTAGTAAAATGAAATGAAAAAAACAATTTGAAAACTGGATAAAATAATTGAACTCTAATGTTTCATGTAAATAACAAATGAATCAAAGCCATACCTGCAAAAGTATTTGAGTCATACACCAGCGGAATCCAGACATGACAGCAGCAAGCATGACAAAGACAAAACCCCAAAAATCAAATTCTGTCTCCCTTGCAACTGGAATAAAAAAGATCAAATTTTGCAGGTGTTATAAATATTTGACATTGTAAAAGCTTGAGAGAGAGGCAACAGAAGCAAAAAAGGCTGTCACAAGCTGCTCAAATATTACACACTGTCAGATTGATTTGGATGATTAGGGCCAGATTTAACATTGAAAGAGATTGTAACATTGCAGTTAAAAGAACGATGGTTAAAATTAATAATTCGAAGAATAACGAAAGCAATGGGATGAGCAATAAAATGACCATTAAGTTAAGAATATCATGAAAAAGACATTTTAATAAATTGTGTATTCATTGTCTAATTTTATAAGGCAATTGAAACAATCAAACATAATAAATCAATATTACCGAGTAGATACTTATCTTGAAATATACAATCTATTATTAAAAAAGTACGTCACAATTACAAAATAAAAGTGACTTAAAGAACCCAAAAGAGATTTTTTTAAAATGGTTTTCAAAATTGATTTCAACATCTAAGGATTGTTTGTTTCATGACAAATAGCTTCCAGAAAATTATTTCTATGTTTTATACTGTCATTTCAAGGAAAATAACTTGATCATTGAAAAATATACGCCCGTTCAACAGAAATTTAACTAATTTTCAGAAACTGTGTTACGCTTTGAACTAATACAATTAAAAAGCAAAGTAGGGAATTGACGAGAATCTTATACCTGTTAATAGAACCCCAACAGAGATTACCATCATGATACCAAAAAGTTTAAAGCTTGGGGACTCCAACCTTTCAAAATCAACAAACAACATTAATATAAATGTATAAAAGAGATTTTAAACAACCATATTACTAATAACTGTATGTTTTTTAGCATTAAGCACAAAAACTTGTAATTTTCTAAGTTATTCATGGTTTCAAGCTACTAATAAGCAAAGTACATCCTTACATTTACAAAAGACTGCTTTATCCTTACTTTTGAAGGCCATCTAAACAGTTCAGCATCATCAAAACATTGAAAACGGAAAAGAAAATTTTTAAACTAACCTGAATGCAAAAGCAAATAGGAGAAGAAATATAGGGGCTGCAGATTTACACTGCAGGGTATATAGGAAGAATATTTTAGTCAATAATGCAAACAAGAAAAGATATATCCAAAAGCATATTCACAGAGTATGAAGGCCAATTTGATCAGAATGAGGTTAAATATTTATCACAATATAGAGTACAGAAGAGTTAACAAACCATTGTGGCAAAAGTAACAGATATGAAAACCAGGGATACATTGCTCAGGTTAACGTCCAGTGCAGTTGAAAGAGCCGTAGGTACAACTGTGAAAGGCAAAGTCTCTCTGTACATTAGTTGATACAAAAGTTAATTAACAGACAAATGCAGTTAGAAGAACAGGAGACCAGCATTTTGAAACCCTAAATCAAAGTGCAACGATGCAGTCCTAAAAATAAAACTACAAAATTCTAAACAATGGACCATATGCAAGCACCATATTCACATTTTAAAGAAGTAGAAAAGAACATTGTTTGATGAACTGACCTCTGTAAAAGTAATCGCTATATGACATTGGAACGGAAGGCTGAAATCTATGAGACCAATACCACGTTATCGCCTTTGATAAGAAAGCTTGGAAAGTGAAGTGGATGGTATTCATCAAGAAGGGAGCAGGAAACTTTCCCAACTCATCTCCCAACAAGGTTTTGTTGTACCTACTCAGCAAGATGTAAGATAGGATTAATGAACAAGCTTCAAAAACTAAGGTCTTAACTATAGCTAAAATGCTACAGCAATTAATTTACTCTAGACTTACAATGTCAAAAATGTGCTGAAAGTGTACCATACAAGTATAAAGAATAATGTCCTCAACACATCTGCAGTAGAAACACTGTTTCTAGATGTTTTCATACCGACAGTAGAACTGGCTCCGCCATCACCAATATATGCTGATCTATCCCTGACACGCTCATTTTCAACTTCAAAAGGACTATATTTCCCATTTCTATCTTTCCCGTGTAGATCTTCCATGGTAGTTCCACCATTCAAGTGCATATGTTGCTCTGGAAATTTACTGTATCTAATCCCGTTTTCTAACTCACTCTGATTAAGCATAGGCAACTCAAAATCAGAACCCTCTATGCTAGAAGCAGCATTCCCAGAGCTGCCTTCCAAATGAATTGTCACATCTTCATCAGCCCAGCGAGAGAAGGACGGCTCCTGCAAAGACCAGAACCTTGATTTCCACTATGAGTATCAGTTTTCCCTATGCATTCAACTGTTTCTTTATCAACGTTATTCTCTACCATCTCCTTTCTAAGTTAATGCCATCTATGCACAGCATGGGAACACAACTATCCTCATTTTGCTGGAGTTTATTACGCAAAACTAGTATGTGAACAATATTTTGGGCATCAAATGAACTGAGATGATATCAGCCACTCTACTTAATGCTTATGTTAGATCATTCAAAATCCTATACATCACCTGTTGTAATCAAATATAACAGCAAAACCTATCAAAAATCGAGAACAAAACAGCTTCATCCGAAGAGGTCAAGAAAAATATGAAACAATGGAACTTTTTATTCCTACTATCCACTCATCAGAACAAATAAACACCGCGTTAAATCAACTCGTCAGAACAAATAAACCCCAACCCTCAATCCCCAAAACAATTAAGGGCCCCCAATGCTTCGATGATATTCAAAAATGACAAAAAATATAAAAAAAAATGGAAAAGACATTGAAGTGACCTGGTCAAGTTTCGATGACATCCGAAGCGGCGAAGAAGAATGGGAGAGCCGGGAACAGAGAGGATCGTAATATATACATATATAACATTAAAATATGAGATCAGATCTGGTAATGGGTGGATTTATTTTTGAGGGAATAATAATAAATGTTCGTTTGAGCGTCGTTATCTACTCTGCTTTTGCCTTTGTCGTTTCTTTTACTTTGAAGGATACGCTCTGCTGTTGTTTCCAAATCAAAACCGTACATACAACCATAAAATTCAAACCAACAAAAGAAAAAACTAGGATGGATGGAAGTCACTTTTATTTAAATTTTTTTTTGAATAATCTAACTAAAAGATTAACATTTCGATTATTCGTATTATGTTAATAAAAATAATTAATTTTTATTTTAAATTTTAAATTACATATTAAATTGATTTATATTTTTTCAAATACTTTTATAATTTAAATCATTGTTATTCATGATCGACGTTATTTCGATCATCTTCTTCATTTGCTGATCATATTGAACAAAATATTTCTCCTTTTTTTATTTTCTTAAATTTAAATTAAAAGATTTTATGTTGTCATCATTATCGTCGTGCTCCCTCCAAATCTAGACCTTCATACCGACTCTTCTCCATCGATAAATTGTCTTTTTCTTCTCTAACCAATAGCTAAGATCTCAAAGATTACTTACCAACACCCAATATCGTATTCAATTTTAAATGTCAAAGAAATTCAAAAAATTAGGGGGGGGAAAAAACTTTATGATTTCATTTTACCTTGAATTGTCTCAGATTCATGTTCGTCTAAGGAGGTAATTATTTTTCCTAATTTATTAGGTTAATGCAAAGGGAAAAAACATAAATTTAAATTATAAACAAAACTTTAAAAAGGAGAAAATTATCATTAAAGTAAGCTTAGCAAAAGTATCATTTCTTACTAAATACTCTCATATGCAAACGCCCGCGCACGCCGAAAGACGGCAACAATATCATACATGCATTTACCCTAGAGCCATGAAATGGTGTATGTCTATTGTTCAAAACTGAAATGGAAAATGTCTGATCATTAACAATAATGCAAAGTATGTAGAGACATACATGTATCATTTATTCAGACAACCACCTTAGAATAAAGGAATCACCGGCCATCGGACGTACATCGGATAGAAAAGCCGCGAATTCTAGGAAAGAATAGACTAACCTCTTCGTCAGAAAATAATATCTTCGTCCTTCTCCCTGCCTGCTGATAGCAGATTGTGAGCTGAGTTTCTTGAAATCCCTTTCTGCGAGGAATCCTTCTCGGCAAACTCAAACTCCTTTGCAGAAGCTAACTGTTTCTCTATTTCCCTCTTCTTATAACCTTGTATCTTCTTTAGCCTGAAGAAATCCTCCCTTTCAAGCTCATCCAATTCTCCCTTAATGTAACTTATTGTATTCTCCAACCTCGGCTTCACAACATTCTCTAAAGCGTTAACTCGGCGATTTGTCGTCTTGATTGCCTCATCAAGTGTTAAGAATGATGTCTGAAGAGAAGCAAGCTCAACTAGGACCTCGATTGCTTTCACGTAAGCAACACGGCACTGTTGGACCTGTTGTCCACCTCTGGCCAAACCGGTCAAATCATTCTTGGTCTCACCTTCAGTAAAATACTCAAACTTGGGAAGCTTCACTCCAGCAACGTTCTCTTGTCGTGATCGAACTTTAAGAGAAGCAGTGTGAACATTCTCAAGCACGACATGTTTGATGTTCCCGCCAGCAACATACTTCGCCTCAGTAAGCGAAAATGAGGAGGTTTTCATAATCTCTCCCATTGATTCTTTTGAAGACACTATCTTCTTAAGAATCTGACGAAATTGTACAGTTAAGGCATCGCTTTTCTTCTTGAGAAGTGCATGACCTCTTGTAGCAATTTTTAACAAGAACAGCAATGATGGAAAACTATTGCCGTGATTGTTAAAAAGATGCATCTTTTAACTAATTCCATTCCTTTCTGTACAGAAGGAGGTAATTCACCATCTATTTCTAATTTACCTTTATCATAAGCCTTTCACATCTATATTACATTTTGTATTTTTTGTCGTAACCGGTTTTCGTCCGGGCACGAAATATTATATTTTGGCGGGAAAAGTGATGTGAATAAATGGTTTTGAAAATAATTTGGGAGTCGCCATCGGCCTTTTGGGTCAGGTAGGTCGAATACCTAAAAAAAATATCTTTTAAAAGAGTTTTAAGAAAACATCAATTAAAAAAAAAAAAATTAAACTGATCTGCGTTTATAAACAAAAATTCGTTCTTTTTAATAATAAAAAGGGATTCGTGGTCGGTTACGTTTAGGGAAGGATTAGCACCCCTACAACGCCCAAAATTGGTACTTTTTAATTATAAATTGTCTCTATTATTAAAATTTAAAAATTCAAAAATATATTTAATTTATAATCCTATTATTTTCAAAATTATATTTATTTAAAAATATCCGAAAAGAACTTCTAGGTGCCTTAAGACATCTCTTTTCTTTGATATTGATAAATATTAATTTAAATAATATTGTTTACTTTTTAATTTTAAAATATCAGAATAGGACATCCAGTTGTTTTAAGACTGTCCTTTTCTTCGATATTAAAAATAAATATTTAAAAAATTACTATTTATTATATGTATATTTATGAATATATAAAAAATTTTAACAATATAATAAAATAAAAATATCACTAAAACAATATATTTTAGGCAGTAAAATGAAAACATATAAATAACTAAATTATAATAAAAATAAAACTAAATCTAATTACTAATTAATTGAAATTATAGGGATTAAATATTTTATTTTCTAATTTAATAATTTAGTGACCAAAATGAAATTATCTAAAATTCAAATTTTATAATAAAATTAATTGAAAATATGAACTAGGGATAAAAAATTTATTTATTAAAATTAAGGGATTAAATCTGTCATTTATCCTAAATATATTATTTTAATAAAAAGGACTAAAATGAATAAAATTCAAATTCAAAGACTGAATTAAAATTATTATAAATTCAGTTTAATGACCAAAATGTAAAATTTACAAATACGAGGGACTGCGGACGGTGTTTAACTATTTCAAAATTACGTGCATAGTCCTTCCCGAAACGACGTCGTTCGGGAAGGACTATAAGAGTCCAAACCGGCTGGCCCGAAGGGCCAGCCATTTCATTTCTTCTCTTTTTTTTTCTTTCTTAAGCAGAGAGAGAGAGAGAGAATTCTCTCTGGCCTCTCTCTAGATTCCCTCACCGGAGGGAATCCGGCAGCCGTCTGCCGCCGCGAGTTCTGCCGCCGACCACCGCCGCCGGTGGCCGGAAAAAATATTTTTTATCCTAAATGTAGATCGGACCGTCCTAATGACGGTTCCGATGTTTTTTTTCGTTAAACGGCTCCCAATCGGAGCAAATCTACAATAATACCTTCGGCTTTTCGAAGTTTTGGTGAGATCCGGTGACGGTTGGGGCTCTCCGATGACAGGGTAAGCTTTTGCCTCTCTTCTCTCTTTTTTCCTTGCTGTGTTGATGCTGACTGAGATCGTTGGTATAGTTTGTTTTTTTTTTCTCTGTTTTTTTTCTGTCTCTGTCTCTAGTTTTTTTGTCTCTGCCTTTTTTTTTTCAGGTTCGGGTGGTGGCTTTTATAGCCACCACCGTTGTAGCTGTCGGACCGGTCCGAAGAGGGGGCCTCGGTGAGTCACCGGACTACCAGTGGTGACTCACCCCGTAGCCTTGCATGGACGGCTGGCGTTGATCTTCTGGAGTCTTCCTTCTGGACGTGGCAGCGGCGGAGGCGGCGAGAAAACTGTCGGCAGCCGCGTAGAAGCTGGGGCGGCGCCGCGTGGCCCTAGGGTATCAAACCCTAGGGTTTCTCTCTGGCACCATCTGGACCGTTGGATCTTGCCAGATCCAACGGCTGTGAGCTGAGGCGGCTGGGTAAATTAGGGTTAGGAAACCCTAACTGGAAACCCAAGTATTTAGGGTTTCTGGTTGGATTTGGACCGGTTCTGGTTGGTTTGTAACTGGGCCGGTCCAGTTGTAATTGGTCTGTAATTTATTATTTATTTAATATATATTTAATAATAATAATAATGATAATAATAATAATAATAATAATAATACTAATAATAATAATAATAATAATAATATGGATAAAAAAATTAGTATCTTCAGCTGCCCCTCTTTGCTCATTCTTGTGTTAACAAGAATAGAGCAAAGATGAAAAGATAATAAAATTTTTTTTATCCATTTGGCTTTACTTTGATCATAATGGATATATTGAATAAATTATTCTCTTTCTCTAGATGAGTTCTTCTTATTATGAACTTTCTGCTGGGGATGATGATGACCTCCTTTCTATGATAGAGTCATTCAAAAGGTTGAATAAGCTCTTGATGAGTTCTTCCCATTATGAACTTTCTCTAGAAAGGCTAATGCTAATCTATCTCCTTCTGTGATAGTATCAAACAAAGGTTGAACAAGCTCTTCTCATTATGAACTTCTTCTTCCTTCTTCAGATGAGTTCTTCTCATTATGAACCTTCTCTGGCAAAAATAATCAAGTGATGAATTCAAACAAAAGGTTGAACAAATTCTTCTCATTATGAACTTCTTCTTCCTTCTTCAGATGAGTTCTTCTCATTCATGAACTTTCTCTGGCAATGTTGATCCATCAAATGATGAATTTAAACAAAAAGTTGAACAAGTTCTTCTCATTATGAACTTCTTCTTCCTTCTTCAGATGAGTTCTTCTCATTATGAACCTTCTCTGGAAATGTTGATCCATCAAATGATGAATTTAAACAAAAAGTTGAACAAGTTCTTCTCATTATGAACTTCTTCTTCCTTCTTCAGATGAGTTCTTCTCATTATGAACCTTCTCTGGCAATGTTGATCCATCAAATGATGAATTTAAACAAAAAGTTGAACAAGTTCTTCTCATTATGAACTTCTTCTTCCTTCTTCAGATGAGTTCTTCTCATTATGAACTTATCTGGCAATGAATGATCCATCAAGTGGATTTGAAATCTTTGCTAAAATCTTTGAAATTTCTGTTAATAATTCAACAAGAATAAAAATGAATGAAAATGCATCTATTTTTGCAAATGCCTAAATATGATGCATGAATATTAAGTTGTTTGATTTCAGACTGGTGAATTGAGTATTTCTTCAATTATAAAAACCCAATATATCTGTCTTCTTTAAATCAAAGAATCTATCATTTTTGACAAATGTAGATGTAGATATAATGTCACAAAACCTCTTGAGAATAAAACTCAATAGTATAAACTTTTGAAAAGCTTGCATTCAGGCAACATGTTGATTCTGATAACAACTCATCTGATTATGAAGTGACCTTTCAAGATGATTTCACAGATATCGATAGTTCTTTTAATACCGAGAAATCTTGAATTCTGATTCTGATGAGGAGAATAAACTGTTATACTTGACAAAAATGGGATTCTCATGGGCTGAAACTTCAATAGCCATGTAGAGATGTGGGGTCCAAATTCATCAATTGCAGAATTGGCAAATTTTATATGTGCCGCTCAAATGACTAAGGCTGCTGATGCACTTCTTCTGGTAAAAAATAGGAAGTCATTATGCAATGACCCCAATTACAAGCAAAGGCAAAACTCGGGCTATGATTTTTGAAAAGGAAGAAGCAGAGGAAGCTTGAAAAGAAGCTTCTTAATGAAGATAATCATGCAGTTCATCTTTTAATTCCAATGATTGGTTCTGTAGTTCTTACCAAACCAGATCAGATAACTCAAAGAACACTTCCAGAAGATGCTATTGGCAAATTCATCTTCCCAATTCAATGATTGGTTCTGCTAAACCAGATCAGATAACTCAAAGAACACTTCCAGAAGATGCTATGAACAAATTCATCTTCTAAATTCAATGATTGGTTCTGTCCAACCAGATCAGATAACTCAAAGAACACTTCCAGAAGATGCTATTGAGCAAATTCATCTTCCAAATTCAATGATTGGTTCTGCCAAATCAGATCAGATAACTCAAAGAACACTTCCAGAAGATGCTATTGAGCAAATTCATCTTCCAAATTCAATGATTGGTTCTGCCAAATCACAACACTTATTTGATGTAGAGCCAGAATTTGTAGATTCGAAGTATTTCCATGCTACTACACTGAAAAGGGCTATATTCATAATTCTGCCAATTAAGAATAGATTTTCTCTTATTCTGCTTCCTCCATGTGTTGATGCTTTTCCATTGACAAAGAAATGATGGCTTTCATGGGATCCAAGAACAAAGTTGAACTGTTTATAAACATGTACAGGAAGTGCCAAATTGACAGAAAGGATCTGTAAGGCTTTTGAAGCTTATGACAATGAGCCACCTTCGAGTGTCCAGAAGTATGTTCTTGATGAGTGCTGAAAATGGAATCTAGTATGGTTTGGAAGGAATAAAGTTACTCCACTTGAACCTGATGAGGTGGAAATGTTTTTAGGTTTCCTTAAAAACCATATACAAGGATCTGTATAGAAACATGTTTCCTAGTGATATCAATGTCTTGTTTCTTTTTGCTGGAATCAGTACTACAAAGATCATTTTTTACTGTTTTAGTATATCTTTGAAAACAGATGTGCAAGAACTGAATGGTGATCGGTTGGAGCAATTGATGAGTAGATTTGGCGGATTCGACCTTGTTGTCGGTAGCACCACTTGTAACAATCTTGATGTTCATGGCTTTAAGCTAGTGATGATTTGCCTACTTTGTATTCCATGTATTTAAAAGTATTAACATAAAGTGATATTCAGAAATCTTTAAATTATTTCAAAATTATGTTAATTCAATAGAAAAGAATAAATTGAATTTCCAAAAATAAATTGAATCTCAAATAAATTGAACTTGAAATAGATATAATTGTATTCAAAGTTATGACAAGCATAAGAATAAAAATTCAAATGTCTCAACAAATTATAAT